AAAAAAAAAAAAAAGGAGAAAGCACAAATAAATAGGGTCATAAGTGAAAGGAGAAATCACAATGGACACAATAGAAATAAAAATAGTAAGAAATTACTATGAACAAAGTTACATGCAATTAAGTTCAATAATCTAGACGAGATGGACAAATGCCTACAAATTTACAGTCACCCAAAGCTAGATAAAGAAGAAATAGAACATCTACATGGACCGATTACAAGTGGTAAATTAATAAAGTCATCAAAACCCTACCCCACAGAAAAAGCCCAGGACCAGATGGCTCTACAAATGAATTCTACCAAACATCTGGAAACAAACTAGTGCCTATCCTACAAAACTTTAATAAAATTGAGAAAGAAGGGATATTACCAAATATGTTTTATGAAGCCAACATTAAATTAATGCCAAAACTGAACAAGGACAACACATACAATGCTACAGGCTAGTCTCTCTAATGAAAACTGATGTACAAATCCTCAATAAAAGCTTTGCCAACAGAATCCAACAATGTACCAAAAAGATAACCCACATTACCAAGTGGGTTTTGTTTCAGGGGCACAAGAATGGTTCAATATTCAAAAACCAATTAACGTAATCGAACACATCAAAAAGAAAAAGAAAAACATGATCATATCAATAGATGCCGAGAAAGCATTTGACAAAATTTAGCATCCATTTATTAAATAGAAATTCTTGGGATAATGATTATTCCAAACTAACAACAACAAAAACATCCTCCCAAGTATAATATCTGGGTCTATTTTTTTTTAATTCATGAATAATAATGACAGTACTGTATTAAAACTACCATTAAATATAGTAGAAAAATAATGTTACATATACATGAAATATGTGAAAGAATAAATTGAAAACATAATTAGCAATGAATATTTATAGAACGCTAAAGTAAATAATACTACCAAAAATTATTAACTGGTTAAAAAAAAGTACCTCCAGAGTGAAATCTGGCCGACACACTTTAGTCAACTGACCTAAATAAATAACCTTTTATCAGTCATACAGAAAGCCAAAGTTGTTTGCCATTTGTTAGTATCCAATGACATACAGTCAGCAATACTCCTGAGATAATGTTGGCAAGATGTATAACTTTAAGAATCATTATGATAATAATGATTTCATAATCCTCAAATGAGGCACATTTTGCCAAATAATCAGGTGTAATTATTAAAAGTCATGAAGTCTAACAACAATAACAACAACAACAACAACAACAAACAAAACAGGAGACATAAGAATTTAAAATGTCTAATTCTGAACTGGATCATTTTTTCATAAACTGCCAATTTTGCTTCAGTTTTCCCATAAATTTGCTAGCATGTTTCATTTCCTTATAAATGATGGTTACTTCTTATGGTTATAAATATAAAGTCAACAGTAATGAAAATAATAAATAATAGTACTCAGAAGTTTTTGGTTGCCAAGAGTTAAATTTGAATATATTGTAACTTACATCTCCTTAACTTTTTCTACTTGCTAGGTGTCTATTATATCAAATTACAATAGACACAAAATTCTGCTTTTACCTTTATCTTGTATTAGAAATGAAAGTTCTCTACACTCCTGTAAGTGAATTGGTACAAAATTCAAAATACTTTATTTAAATATGCTACTTTGATACAATTTGATTTGATCCCATTTGCCTGAGGAATATAATTTAATTTCAGACATTCCCATGGAGTAAAGTTTTTTAGCAGTTGCAGCATAGATGAATTTAAACATGCAGTTACACAACCTGAATTTGAATGTCTTCAAAAGCAAACTGTTTCAACAGTGGTTCTCCAAGGAAAACTGTCCATTTGTGGAAATGGAATTTTGGAACCACAAGAGCAATGTGATTGTGGCACGGTAGAGGTTAGTCACACTTAACAGTTTCTGTATTTCTCTTGTAATTATAAATATAGCTTTGATATAAAAGCGCTGGACTTTTTTTTTTTTTTTTCAAATGCTTCAGTCTTTTATCACATATCTAAGGCAGAAAGATATGGGACATGTAATGACCAACTCATGCTAATTTAGAAGCATTTGAAGAGATTAGATGTGGGGTAAATACAGCATGAATGTGTAGCCATTAATATTAGTTCACAATTTCTGTATCAAAATCACTAACTTCAAATATGCATAATCTAAATCATCCCTAATTGAGCTAAGTGACTGCAATTAGTTCACTAAGTTGCTAAGCAGCTATTCTTGTTTACCTTTTCACCACCTGATTTCAGTTGTGGCATCGAAGGGAACGTCATTAATTTAGTTTTGTGGAATGAAATCATAATCTTTGTTTTGTTGTTATAGTATTTATCTTTTTGCTGTTATCTTTTTATTCATTTATACTTGGTGTAAGGTAGCTTATCTTTGCATTTATTGTGAATGCCATTAATATATACTTCTGCATGGGGATATTTGTGAATGGCTCATATTTTTTTGAGAAAATAAAAATTCTTTGTTAGAAGCAAAATTCTGCATAAAATGATTATATCATATTATAAGTGACTAATTTAAATCTTAAGTATTTTTATTACTTTTTATTTTCTGACATTTTAATACATAAGAAATAATATTGATAGCTCTAATTGTACAATTGGATTTCTCTAATTTTAGTATAATTTAATGAATTGACATTTAAAATATTTTGAAGCTAATTTATGTGGTGCTAACTTATTTACAATTAGACTTTCTAGAAATTTAAATTTTCCTTTGAAATATTAAATATTTTCTTTCATATTGGTTTCTGTACCAGTATCTATCTGGACTCATACATTTGTTTATTATTTATGTTTATATATGTGCATATACTAACTTCCTTTAATTAGCATTTTCCTAATATTTCTCTATTCTCATTCAGTATTACATCTTTATAACTTAATAAATGTAAATACCACAGCATAGCTATGAAAAATTTCTATCACCATTTTAAAATTTCAGTTTCCAATATTCTTTGCATATATAATGAAATAGAAATAAATAATAGAAATTGTTGATCATGCCAATAGCCAGTTTAACATTACTTTGAATGATTGACTGCTATTTTGGAAGATAATTGCAAAATGTCCAAATCAAAATTATCAAAGTAATCTCAAGGAATATGTGAAAATAGTCTTTTATTCTGGAATTTCAGAAATAGAGAAGCAACTCATTGTAAAAATTATTTTATTAAAGTAATAATGAGAGAATAATTACATGACATTAAATATTGCTAAACTTTTAGAGTAAAATAATATTATTTAATTTCTCAATGGTGTATTATAGCTATGTAGCATATAGCATTTAGCTGTCGGTTCCATAAGAGAGTTCCATTTCTCAACAAATCATTAAAAGTCAATTTCAACTGGGCATATAGTTTAAATTTTTATTTTATATGAATATTTTCATATCACATTCTCCTCATCAGGTTCACTCTGATACAACCTTTGGAGAGGTCTCTTTAATGCCACTCATTTTTCTTTTTTGCCAATATTAATAGTCAGTGAGTGTTCAATTTTTTTCTTCACTTAATACTCTGGACAGTTGTTTTTAAAATATTTTTATTATGAAGTGTGCGCACTCTTTTAATGTTCAAATATGAGCATGAATTAAAAAGGGTATCATTTGACCCTTCTATATAATAAAGCATTTATATAGTGATATAATTTTTGATGGAATTTAATAATATGCATTAGTGTAACTAAAAACATCATATGTAATTTAAAGTACTATATTGCATATAATCTAGTTCATGTCTAAGTTCAGGAATTAATTATTCTATAAATGCAACTGATTTCACTACTGTTTGGGGAAAATTACATTATAGCTTCTCTCATATTACTTAGAACATACATTTTCTATATATATATTATATATATATATATATATATATATATATATATCTGTCCATCTATAGGTATATCATCTAAAGTTACATTATCTCCCTATATGACTCACACATATTATATACCTACTATATACTCTAATACTTGAGTAGAGAAATATTTTACATATAAAGTCAGAAGAAAACCAAAAGTGATGATAACTTTTAGAGTTAAAAATTTTAGGGGTATAAACTAGTTCAGTCACTATGTAAAACTGTGAAGATTCCTCAGAACCCTAAAAAATGGAGCCTATCATATAACCCAATAATTCCATTCCTAAGAATCTACACAAAGAACAGAAAAAACGCTAATACAAAACAACTTGTACTCTGATGTTTATTTCAGCACTATTTATAGTAGCAAGACATGGAAACATTCTAAATGCCCTGAAACAGGTGAATGGATCAAAAAGTTGTGGTATATTTATATAGTGGTATAATAGCAATTAAAAAAGACAAACTCATACCATTTGCAACAAGGATGGAGCAAGGGATTTTGCTAGCCAAAATAAGTCAGAAGCAAAAAGATAAATACTAGATGGTCTCACTTATATGTGGAATATAGAGAAACCAAACAGAAGTTTGAGAAAATGTCAAAACTAGCAAGCTGAACACAGATCTGATGCAGGATAGGGAAGAATACAAGGGAATTTGGTGATGGCTCACAGATGACATAGTAGTGGGGGAACTATGTGGACTACAATGATGTAAAATGAAAATTAATGAAAAAATTAAAAGTTATAATTGAGATGCTATTTGGATACCCTCATGAGGTATTACCATTGCAGTACACCCACAACTAACTCACCCATAGTCCACCACCGCAGTCCATTGTGCTTTCCCTCTTGTTCTCACTATTTCTTCACCTTGTAGTGAGCCATAAAGTAAGTGTTCAATTTCTTGAACACCTTTTTTACCATACATATATGTGATATATAGCTACTATAAATGATGTGATGTTAGAAATAAGTACAAGGGTAAAACTCATTGTGATTGTAATTAATTTAGACACATACATTAGTATTTTTGATAATAACTAAAATTATTTGACTGAAACTACTTATTAGTTAACTTGATTATCTTTACTTGTAGAATTGCACTCATAAAAAATGCTGTCACCCTGAAGATTGTAGTCTAACTAATATGGCAGAGTGTGGCAGTGGAGTATGCTGTGATAAAAAGACTTGTCTAGTAAGTTTTCAAACTAGGACATTATTTTCTTTCATGTGTCTTGACCTATGTACATTAATTTTTTAAATTTTAAAATTTTTTTAGATTTGGACTATTTTATACATCAACTATTTCACTTTATGTCCCTCTTTCTGCTCATTTGATTTCAGAGTTCAGAGAACAACATTATGTCTTTTTCAATCTCCTCCTTAACTCTCCCTTTCACTGTGTTGATTCTGCGTCCACTCAGGACTCATTCAATTATTGTATTCAATACCAAGTCCAAGTTACTTATAAGCACTATGAATTCGTTTTGGTCATTCCTGGGTGTATTTCTACATAACCTATGACTAAATTACAAATGAGTAACCCAAACACACTTGACATACAACGTTTGAATAAACAGATAACAATAATATTAAAATTTCATCATAAATGTAGGAGAAAAAGAATCCATGTACAGTAATCAGCAATGAGAATCCTATCATATAATGTACCTTAGTTTAGACAAATTTTCCTGGTGCTGGAAGTGATTGAATTCTTGAAACTTGAGAATTTCCATGACCACATTTGAAGAAACTAGTAGAGTTTTCTTATAGATTGCATCACATCTTTTGAGTGTGTGTGATTTTCAGGAGATTATAGTGGGCATAAAAGCTGATGAATTATAGAAAATCTTTGCCAGATTTGTTTTCTCTCTGTCAATATAATTTCTCTTAATATTATTCCACACTGTTCTGTGTGTTTTCTTTTACATTCTGTGGGCTAGCACTTAAAGCCAATGGTTAATTGACTTTCATGAGTGTAGAGTTCAGACTAGGGTCCATACTTAGCAACAAACCTTTTTACTTTTCCCACTACCAACAATCTAACAGTTCTTTACTCTTTTCTTGCATTCCAGAGGATACTTCCTTGCAAACAAAGATAATTAATTTGTTCGAGTAAAAACCCACAGTGAAAGTTGCTAGGGTGGTCTGCAGTGTAATTATGCTATTTTGGTTCACATCAATTTTATTACATTATTGCATAGGATTTTGTCCTCAGTATCCATTAAAGGCTCATAGACATTTTACACTCTTATATTATGGGTCAAAAGCATGAAAGTCTTCCACGTGTACTTTTTACTAGGTTAGTTTTCATGGTAACTAATTTGATATTTAGCTGTTTGACCCCAACTGTTTCTCAAAAATTTTCAATTTAATACATTCAAGTGCAAAGATACAAAAAAATACTAGTTTATACAACTTTTTGCTAAGAACTAAGAGCGACTAACATGTTTTTAATGAGTATTCATATATTCTTATATGTAATTATTAATACTTTTTAACTTTCACATGCTTTATTGCCTCATCCTCATTCAAGATAAATTCCAAATGTGCCATTTTTAATGTACCGCATAGTTGAGTATTTTAATTGTACCCATCTTCATCCCTTATTATCTTTTTAAAATGAAAGTCTAGTTTATTGAATATGAGAATAGCAATTCCTGATTTAACCTCTGAGTCTTTTGGTTTTGAATGGGTCTCTGGTAAACAAAGTATTGATGGCTGGTATTTTGTCCACCCATATTGTTAGACTATGTTTTTTTTTTTTTCTTTAAAATTTTAATATATTTTTTACATCATTCTTCATTTTATTTCATTTATGTTTTTTAAAGATTTATTTATTTATGTATAAGAACTAGGGTATAGGCCAGAGGTGCAGGGGCAGTGAGAGGATTCACCAGAGAGAGAGAGTGGGGAACAGAACAGGCAAATCCATGAAGTACACTACTGAGGGGAGCGGTGGGCTAGACAACAGAGGTTTGCCTTGGCACCCTGTGGAATCACTTCCTGGGCCTGGGTGGAACTTGCACTGAAGCAGCTGGGGCTAACTTGCAGTGCTGAGTCCTAACCCATTGTCCCACCAGAGAGGGTCCCATTCTTCATTTGAATACAATATATGCTTTATCCTCTTGTGTATGGTCCTTTTTATGGCTGAAAATCTATTGTATGCATATATCTCTTATGTTTGCATGTTTATTGTTCTATGCATTCCATTTATTAATAGATCTTTGAGTTCTTTCCAATCTGTTTCACTATAAAGTTGTTATGTAAGTTCATATGTTACCACTAAATAGTTAATAAGTGAAAGAATTAAAAATGGAATGCTTTTTAGAGTTTTTCCACTTCTATATTACTATTTTTAAAAATCATGTTTTTTTTTTTTTTTTAATCTTCCAGGTATCTCCAAGAGGACGTGTATGTAGGAAAAGCACAAATCAATGTGATTTTACAGAATTTTGCAATGGAATATCTGAGTTTTGTGTACCTGATGTTAAATCTTATGATTTCGAGCCATGCGAAAATGAAACTGCCTATTGCTATGGTGGAATATGCAGAGATCGAGATGCACAATGTATAGAGCTATTTGGAAAATGTAATTTGTATATTTGGGGGGGGGCATTGACATTTAAACCATATTTTTCAAATGCCAGTAATCACTCTATAGCCATAGTAAAAATGTCATTTTTTAAAATCTACAACTGAAAATAAAACAAAAGCAAAACAACTTTGAACTTTATCAAGAGGTATAATTGATCATATAACTACAGGAAAATAATATTAGGATGTAGTTAAGTTTATGTGATTGGTGGAAAGGAAGGCAAATATTAGACTTATAAATAAAATGATTTCATAATAATTTCTCCTTGATGATGCCAATTTTTGTTTCCTCAAGTGTGTAGTTTTTCTTTGTTTCTTATCATTTGGTAAGTTAATGAAGCCCGTAATTTATAGTAACTATCATTGAGAGGGTATTCCTATTGCTTTAACTATCTTTTTGCTAAGTACTCTTTTGGAGTCTAATTATTTAAATTCATTGAGTAATTAAAACTTTATGTTTTCAGTCGCTAAGGTTTCTTCCAGTTTATGCACCCAGGAAGTGAATTTTTTATCTGACGCCTTTGGAAGTTGTAAAAAAGAAAACCTATGTAATTTTGAGTATGTATTTTTAAAATTGTACATTTTCCAAATGTGTGTGTGTGTGGGTTGCAAAGTCATTTACTACAAATGTGAAAAGAAAGTATAATTTTTTTTTTTAAAGATTTATTTATTTGTGCATACAGAACTGGGGTAGAGGCCAGAGGCTCAGGGGCGGCAAGAGGCTTCACCAGAGACAGAGTGGGGAACAGAACAGGCAGATCGACGAAGTACACTGCTGAGGGGAGCAGCGGGCGGGTCAGGAGAGGTCTGCCATGCCATGTGGTCACCTCTGGGGCAGGCGGGAATCGAACTCATGCAGAAGCAGCTTTAGATTCTCAGTGCTGTGCTTTAACCCGCTGCGCCACCAGGGAGGGCCAGAAAGTATAATTTTTTGAATAGCTTTGTGGTTATGATCTGAGTGAAACTAGAATTGTACTCATATTTTAAGCTGTTGCTTACCAAACATAGAACGTTTCTGAATGATATATGTCAGTTGTTTCTGCCTCACATTCTCAGGAACATCTTGTGTGGAAAATTAACTTGTCACTGGACACATACACAGATAGTACAATCAACAGAATTTGATGTTCAGTATACTTATCTTGGTGGTCAGATATGCATGTCTGGAAGTACAAGAGATAAAAGAGTACCTGAACATTTAGATAGAACTTTTACAGCAGATGGCACTATGTGTGATAATAAAAAAGTAAGTAAAAAAATATTCCTTGGCTCTATGCATATGAAATGTTTATGATGTGTATCTAAGTGTGTATTTACATGTACATGCACATGTATGTATGAGAAAAGCATAGAGGAAAAGCGAGAAAAGTTAATTTTTTAATATTTAATTTTTTAAAAAGATTTATTTATTTGTGCATACAGAACTGGGGTACAGGCCAGAGGTTCAGGGTTGTTGAGAGGACTCACCAGAGACAAAGTGAAGAGCAGAACAGGCCAACTGATAAAGTACACAGCTGAGGGGAGCAGTGGGTGGGTCAGGAGAGGTCTGCCGCGCCATGTGGGTCACCTCCAAGGCAGGCAGGGTTTGGCTTTAGCTTCTCAGTGCTATGCTTTAACCACCACCAGGGAGGGCCCCTATTTTTTAATGTGTAAATGTTGGCTACTCTGACATGATGAGTCGGAAGTCAGAATTTCTGTTTGTGAAGGGAACACATTGTTTCATTATTTATTATGAATTATTTTATAGATAAATTTGTTCTCACACATGGACTTCTTATCGTCTCATTGGAGCAGAATCTGATCTGTAATAATAATAACACCAACAATGATAGATTAAATAATAAACTAAAAGGTAAATCAAAATGACATGAATAATAAGAAAAGGAAAGTGACAAAAAAATGTTGCCTTTAGTAATTGACAAGATTTACACGAATTGATTATAGTGAAAAGAAAAATATAAGCTATCTCATTAGTTTCAACTTTAATTTTCCCTTCAGTTATATATATAAAAATGTGACCATCCTATTCTACCCTCCCCTACACCAGAGGACACAATAGTAAACAGAATTTAATTTTATTAAAAGAACTGAAGGATTTTTAACTAGGACCACTATGGGGTCAGGGAGAGAGCATGGAATTACTCACCCTCCTTCACTGAAATCTTTAACTGGGACCTGTAATTAGCAAGAATTCTGTTATCAGCAAGCATTCTGTAAACGTGATGTTAGCTTGGCATGCTAACAACAGTTAGTTGTAACCCTTATGAATCTGTAAGCACACACCTGGCTTTATGTTGATTTTGTCTATATATCATGTAAAGGCTAGGCCCTCCCTGGTGGCACAGCGGGTTAAAGCACAGCACTAACAAGCTTAAGCCACTTCCGCATGAGTTCGATTCCCGCCTGCCCCGGAGGTGACCTCATGGAGTGGCAGACCTCTCCTGACCCGCCCGCTGCTCCCCTCAGCAGTGTACTTCATCGATCTGCCTGTTCTGCTCCCCACTCTGTCCCTGGTGAATCCTCTCACCCTCCGCATCTCGGGCCTGTACCCCAGTTCTGTATGAATAAATAAATTAAAAAAAAAAAAAAAAGTAAAGGCTGTCAGGGCTGGGTGGAAGGGGAGCGGAGAGGGTACCACTGCTTGAGTCCCTTTGCTCCTGTTTCATGAATTAAAGCCTGTCAGATTTCCCACAATGAATTTAAAATAACCTTGCCTGGTTTGAGTATTTACAAGAGTCATTGAAAAATTGGTTGACTAATAAAAAATAATACACAATTTACTCTTTAATTAAAATAATTTAAATGGAGGTACAGTATTTTAAGAAATGAAAATAAGAGTGTCGGAGACTCTTTGTCCCCGATCATGAATTATTGGGGGGCAGAACAGGCAGGGTCTCAAGATGGGCCCGGTATGGGCGAGCAGATTCCTAGAAAAAGGGGAAAAAAGATAAAAAAGGGGAGCAGGTGCAAGGAAGACAGGGGAATGGGAGTTGGGTGCAAGTCTTCCTGCTCCGCCTTCAGCAGAGGTTTATTTTATACAAGCAGGCAAAAGGATGACATTAGCATATGAAATGAGCTGAGATCACAATCACCTTTTTTCTAAGAATAGTCTGGGGTCCTTTTGACCTCTAGTTGAGATTATAACATTTTAAAAATCAATCTATCAAGATTAAAACATAGATTCACAAAGTTTAAGACTAATATTACTATATTTACCACAGTGAAGATTAACCAAAATAAAATCCCTTAAACATTACCTATTACTTAATGGCTTTCATTCTCATAGAGACATCCTAGGAGGTAAAGTGAGGGCAGGAAGAGGAAATTTCTTATAAATTAAATTAAGGTAAGGTTCTTTGGAAAACTTGTTAGAAAGTTTGAGTTTCCTTGAAGTCTAGCTGGTAGAAAACCTGATTAGCTCTGAATAGGTGAATTTCCAAATCTAAAGACTAGATAGTAGGAAGTTTGAATGGTTCTTTAGAAACTGAATAGAAGGCTATGTGGGATAGTAGAGTGATTCCCTTTGGGTTTTCCTCCATCTGGCAGTGAAAGAGACTTTGCAGTATCAGCCATTTGTTTTTATTAATCAGCCAGTTGTCATCAGCCATTTGTTTTTATTAATCAGCCAGTTGTCAAATCACTTTTGACTTCAAGAGGAATTTCTCACCCTGGTGCAGTACTTGCTTGTCAGGGCCAGGTAGCACCTTATGAGGCTGAGGCAACCTAATTGTAAGTTGAAGTTGCTCAGAATATTTTGTTATTACGATTATTCAAAAAAGGGAGGTCATAACATAAGTTAGCGTGGAAAATCTGATTTTTCAGAGCATTTCCCCTCCATCCATACCGTGTCTGTCGACTGAGGTTGCATAGCTTGTGTCATAAGAGGAAATGGGAGGGGTCAGTAAACCTAGCTCAGAATGGAAAAAGACATTCTCCTTCTATAAAAGAATAACATAAAAAATAAGGAACTGATAATCGCAAAGGTTAAAAAGATATTGGTGCTGAAATTTGTTTTATCTGCTACCCCTGCACTCTTTCGGGGGGCTGTTTGCTTGTAGAATTGTGTTCCAACCCTTTACTTTCAGACTATGCTTATCTTTAGAGATTAGGTATGTTCCCTAGTGGCAGCATAAGGTTGGATTCTGTTTTTTTTTTTTTTTTTCCCAAAGATTGATTTATTTATGCATACAGAATTGGAGTACAGGCCACAAGTGTTGGGGCAGTGAGAAGATTCTCCAACTTGCACTAATCTGTTGTGTCACCAGGGAGGGCAGGATTCTGGTTTTTGTTTTGTTTTGTTTTGTTTTGTTTTAAAGATTTATTTATTTGTGCATACAGAACTGTGGTACAGGCCAGAGGCTCAGGGGTGGTGAGAGGCTTCTCCAGACACAGAGCGGGGAGCAGAACAGGCAGATCTACGAAGTACACTGATGAGGGGAGCAGCGGGCGGGTCAGGAGAGGTCTGCAGCGCCAAGTGGTCACCTCCAGGGCAGGCGGGAATCGAACTCATGCAGAAGTGGCTTTAGATTCTCAGTGCTGTGCTTTAACCGGCTGCACCACCAGGGAGGGTCAGGATTCTGTTTTTTAATCCAGTATGTTACTCAATGTCTTTTTATTGGTGAGTTTGTTAACATTTAGCATGATTATTGTTACATGGAAATCTGTTATTGCCATTTTGGTGACCATTTTGTGGTTTTATTCACTACTTTTCCCCATTCTTTCTGTTCATTCCTCTGTTGGTTTAATTTTTAAAAAGATTTATTTATTTATACATACAGAACTGGGGTATAGGCCAGAGGTGTAGGGGTGGTGAGAGGATTCACCAGAGACAGAGCAGGGAGCAGAACAGGCAGATCTACAAAGTACACTGCTGAGGGGAGCAGCGGGCGGGCCGGGAGAGTTCTGCCGCATCTTGTGGCTCACCCCCGGGTCGAGGGGGGATCGAACTCATGCTGAAGTGGCTTTAACTTCTCAGTGCTGTGCTTTATTTAACTCACTGCCCCACCACGGAGGGCCCTGTTGGTTTAGATTTTAAGGCTTTTTAGAACTATAGGTTGTCTGTTTCTTTTCCTTTGTCAGCTTCATTACTTTGTCTTTGACTCTGGGAAGCTGTGTCCTTTTGCATTTTTCATGATTTTTAGCTTCCTGAATGTCTATTTTCATTTCTTCCTTCAAGTTTTGGAAGTTCTCCTCAATTGTTTTCTTGAATTGTTTCTCAGTTCCCTCCTTCCTCTCTATTTTCCTGGGATTCCTCTAACTCTTTTATTTTCTTTACTCAGGTAGTCAGATAATTCCCAGAGAGTTTCTTCATTCTTTTTTCCTTCGTATCTCGTTTGTTTTTCCTTTTGGTTCTTTTTATATTGGTATCTCCAAGAATGCTCATTTATCCTTTCACCTATTCTTTTTTTTTTTTTATGGCTTTTCAAGACATTTTTTACTCTGTTCATCTTTTAACCTCCTCCAGTTTCTCTACTTTCTTATTTAAAGATTCAGTCTCATTCTTCTGTTCATCCACTATGGTTATCATAGCAATCTGTTCCTTTTCTGCTTTTTTTAGTTTTTTAATTAAGATGATTCTTAATTCTTTACAAGGCAGAAAAATTCTTCCATGTCAGTGCTGTTGGGCTCTGGAAGCTATTTTCTCTCTGTGGTATATAACAAGTTCCAGGGAGGGACATGTCTGACTACTTGTCTTAGTATATTTCCCCATTGTTTTGCTTTTGTGTTTGTTCTTGGCATAGGGCCATGTGGACACTGGTGTCCACTGGTATGATTTGTGTGTGCTTTTACTGGGATATGCATGGATTTGCCTGGATCCTGGACTGCTTTGAGTGGTGGGTGGATTGATGCTCTTGTTGTTCTCCCCTCAGCTCCCACCACTGTACTTCTTCTGGTGGGTCTTTATACTGCCTGGGTTACTGTGGCAGCTAGGCAGGTTCAGGGCTGGGGGTTCCCATTGTGCCCATTAGCCACGTGGCTGAAGCTGGCAGCCAGGTCGTCCCACATTCTTACCTTGGTGTGTTTGGAGCTGCACACTTTTGGGCTGATGTGGCAACAGGGATGGGGATTCCTGTTGTTTCCCTTGACCAGACTGCTTGAGGTATCCAAAGGCTGCTGATGGAGGACCTGGTATTGCAAGGCTCCAGCTGTGGCCTTGTTCACTGGTGGGTGTAGCAGGTTGTGGGATGCACTTCTTGGTGTTGCTGGGGACAGCTGAGAGTCCCTGGTGCAGGGCATGGCTACTGCGTCAGTGCACAATAGGTTCCAGTTGAGGCCTGGTCGGCTTGCAGTGGTGGGCTGTTGAGTGGTGCGGTTTGCAGTTCAGGGGTCAACAGGTGCTGATGGCTGGTGTTCTGGCTCTGTTCACTAGGTGGCACCAGAGGGCTGAGTGGGATGCTGCTCCTACCAGTGGCGTACTCCTGTGTTGCATATCCTGGAAAAGGAAAAATAAGGTTTCTACCACTCCTGCTGAGCTGGTGACTGACGCTCATGTCTGGGTTTCTCATCTGTGAGTACCTGAGGGCTCCAGATGTAGCATGGTGGGAGACTGGGGTGTTCCAGCTGGGACCTAGTCTGGGTGATATTAATAAGATGTTAGCTCCCTTGGGGTCCACTCTGAATGGACTTCTTTTGTGCTCCTTTTGGTTCTTGGGCATCCTGGAGAATTGCTGGTGTTGCATAGCTGGTTAGAAACACCTGAGTTTTGCTAAAATCTCATTATCAGTCCTTTTTAGTTGTTTTTAGGAGAGATTCCGTATTCCTCCATGTTTCTGACATCATCCTACTTCACTATTTTAGTTGACAGCGTTTCCCTAACCCCCAGTGTACACATTTATCATAAATTTTATTCTGAATAATTTTTTCACATTTTCATTTTTAACTCACATGGAATTTTTTTTTCCAAAAAATATTGAGATAGGCATTTAACTATAGGCTCCTCTAAATGGCTACATTAAAATCCCATTTGTGCTTTTAAAAAGTCACTTTTTCTCCTACATGGAGTAGATATGAAAATGTATCTCTTTAATGACTCCCCAGTCCACTTTTGCTGTCTTTGGTCAATAATGACTTCCCGTTGGAATTCTTTCTCCAATGTCAAGTCTGTCAATTTCTATTGGAATTAGTCTATGGTTTTAACAAAAATTCATGGAAGATAAACTGTATTTCCATTGCTGTTTTACCTTGTGAGTTGATATTAGAGATGTTGAACAGTAAAGATTTCTGTATCTCACTTTCATTTAATGTGGATCCTTTTAAAAAACTGCCAATATCTGACTGTCTATGTACCTATATATGTCTGCCTAACTATATGCCTGCTTATTATCTAACAAGACTTTTTGATTTATAAACATGAATAAAATTATGTCTCCTTTATTAATGACAATAAAAATCATAAATATGCTACATGGAAATAGGCATTATCCCAGCATTAAAATTTGCTTAATATTAGTAGTAATTGAATGCTCCTTTGAATTTCTTACTTGTAAAACTCAGAAGAAGAAAATAGTTCATTAAATTGATCCTAGTCCCAATATGTAGTCTAGGGGAGATAAGAACATGTTTGTAGCATAAAACTCTCCAAACTTAGGTAAGCTAATGAATGAATGAATAAATAAAATTATTTGTCTTTTCTTTCCCATTCTAATACACAGGACTATATATAAGAACATATGCTTACATAATTAAGACATTTCTCCTCAGTCAGTATGTTTTTATTTATATAGTGATACACATACACGTTTATATTTTGGAATGATGACATGATTTCTTCTGGGACATTACTGTATGCCTTGTTCACAGAAGAAAGTCTTATATGTTTACATTCAAAATATGACACTATCATTGAACAGGGTTAAATACATTTATAGTGTCTCTAGCTTTTACTGTCATTGCAGAAAAGCCAGCCTTATGTTGAGCTAATTACTTGAAGAAAAGTAAATCTTAAGTATGAGCCTTAACATTTTCTCCCTAAATACAAACCATTGAAGTTTATTTCTGGTTTATTATTGCTTAATGACAATATTTAAGGCACACTAGAATGAAAACAGATTTGTGGACAGGTAATGTTGGCTGTTTCAACATTTTGTTAAACTTGGCTTCATCAGTGCACTTAGAGTTGACAAACTAGCTGATTTTTGTTAATTCTGTATTTATCAGAAATGATAGAAAATAGTGACTCTTTAGGTTATTCACTATATATTGAAATCAGATTAAGTTGAGAAAACCAAGCTGTATCTTAAATGCTTAAAAATATTTGAAGTAAATTTTGACTAGATGAACATAAACATTTCAAAATCAAGTAAAAATGAAATCTTGTGAAAAGGTAAGAGATACTTTATTAAAATTAGACAAAATGAAACATGTCAGGAAAAGTGCTATTTAGCATTGTTCATAGACTGAAGAAAATCATTCTTCTACTAAATATTGACTCAATAACCTGGCATAACCTTAAAAGTGCAAGTTAAATTCTTCTCCAATATGAAATGAGTATAAAATTATTTTTTTCAAAAAGTCAACAGTAGTATATGTCATAATAATACATATGAAGTATAAAGGCAAGTTACATTATACAAGTTAACTATTTTTGTCTTGTATCAATGTCAAAGGAAAAATATATCATTTTAAAATCTGATATTTGATAAAGTATTAACATACCATTTGACTCCAAGTTCTTTTATTATAATAAATGGATGTCTTAAATCAGATTGATTTCATGTATCTATTTTTTTTATAATTGCTTAACTCTCAACTCTACATTTAAAGTTTTGGTTAATATTGGTTATTTTAACATTCTAGGCTTGTTTGGATGGACAATGCATATTTTTCTCAAAAAGTGACACTTGTGACTCAAAGCAAAAATGCGGTGGGCATGGGGTATGTAATAGTTACATATTTATTTGTAAGTAAGTTATTTGTTCATGTTGAAAATATTTTCCATGCAGAATTATTTTATGTGGAAATTTCTTTTTAAAATTTCAGTTAAGGAAAGTATATTTTATTATTTATACATATGTAGACAAGTTAATATGTTCAGATTGCTTTAATATACATGAGCTAATGAGCTTTGAACTTAGCACAAAAATATAATACGAAATAATCTATTACTATAATATTAGATTAAGATTATGAAATGAATTTAAGGATTACACATACAAATTAACACATATATGTACAAATATATTTCAATTGATTATAAATATATTAGTAAACACAATTGATTATAACTAATAATTAAACACAACTATAACATGTTTATATTGCACATATTAATTATAATTAATATTTCTATAGGAGAAGAGTTTCTTATCCATTCATATCTACTTCATCCTTTAATATATATATATATATATATTAAAGGCTTTAATATATATATTTCCCTGTATTATAGTATATACCATTGTGTACTGTATTTGAAAAGTCATTCAGTGATAACCTTTGAATAAGTTAAACATTTACTTAGTTATTGCATAAGAAATAGTTTTATATTCACCATTGTATATTTATCTGATTTCTTAAACTGTGAGCAGTGCATTCTGATGGAGCAAAGATATGCACCACTTAAATTTTCATAAATATTATAATGTCTTCAAAAGTTACTATATTATTGCTTTAGCTATCATGTATGAATATTTGTATCTTCTCATATTCTGGTCAGACCAGTTTCTCAGTCTCTTAAATCTCTTCTATCATGCTTAAACCATTGGTATTTTTCATTTGTTTGTAATTAATGCTACCATTCTTAAATTTGTATAGTCATTATTTGCATTTTTATTGTTTAATTGACTAGGACTAAACTATTTTGCATTCTTTATCTGATACATTGATTATCTCCATTTGATTATGGTATTTCTCTGAAGTTTATCTTTTCCTTTTATTTGAAGCACTTCCACTTCATTTACTTGAATTGCTTTTATTTTCCTACATATTAGATGAAACAGTTGTCATTCAAAATCTTGCAAACGTGGCCTTTGCTTTGTGACTTATCAATCAACTTTGCCCTATGGTTTGGTTGTTTCTAGATCCTTTGTGGTTTTCTAGACAATTTGGTTTATTTTTGATCAGTAGTGTTTTTGAAGATGTTCTTAGACCTATCAGTGTTATAAGAGGTTGGATCTCTTTTAGCACCTACTTTTAAGTTGGAGTATAGACCCTCAGTAATAAATTTTTACAGTATGCCAAAATGTATGGGATGCATATATGTCCTCTGGGACCACATTGTCAAGCCTGCTGTGCCTGGCTTGGTGATATGGCAATGACCTCTTGGGTACAGTTAAATAGTTGAGGATCTAGTTAAATGTGTTATCTTCCTGGAAGTACCAACAAGTTTCAGTGTAGCAAACGTAGGGGCAAAGACAACAATCCCCAGTCTATGTTCCTTGAGAGTTTCTCCAGGTTACCACAGACAAGTAAGCAGGTATTGGGAATGGCTAGCACTTATGATGATCCCTGCTATATTGAGCAATGCCAGCACAATTGTCTTTGCAAGCCTGGTGGTATGACAAACCCGGTCAGGTTGAGTGATGTTTAATTTGTGCGGTGGGGCTTATGGGGCCTGGAGCTGGCTTGTTTCCCACCTTTAGCAAAATAGATAAGCACTAAAATGATATTTTCCATCTCCATCTCTGTCAACGAACATTATTATTACTAGAATGCCACCCACCAATGACTCTGTCCCAGAAGAGAATGCTCCTAGACTTTTGCCACCACCGTAGATGCTTGAAGATTCACTAATGCTTCCTTCCTGTCTGCCTTTAGGTTCTTCTCAAATTGCTTCTTTCACACTGGGTTACGGGGTCAGTTGTATGTTTTCCCTGTAAGAGTGGGTTCTACA